AGATACGGAATATTTAACACAAAATGTAATAAAACATTAAGAAATATAATATTCGTAAGCCTTGAGTTACTGAATGACCTATGTATTGTGATACTGACAAGGCAAGGTCAAACCGCTCACTGCCTTCTATATCTTTACTATATCCGCCTTTTAAACTATAATGAGCATGTAATAAAATTAGTTAAAAAAAATGCATACTAGTCGAATAAAGAAGCGGTACGACGACACGACTTGACAAGGTCATTCTTTTGCGTATAAGAGGTTTTCAATAAATAGGTAATATACAGATAAAACGTTTTTGTCTAACTGGTCCGCTCATCCTTATATATATTAGCCAACATATGTATTAGCCCTGCATTAGCTACCTGCCGTTATGTGCACAGCAGACCGGTCGGGACGCCTACGCAGGAGCATAATAGGATGATCAAAAATCATGTCGCTCGCCATTCACGAAAGATACAATGTAACGCATTTTCCCTACAATAAAGATCGGGGCCGAAGACGCGGTTTTTGACTGTTTAACGTAATGTCCGTTAAATGGACCCTATAGTGCCGCGGCCTATATAGAGGATGTTCATAATCTACATACATAAAAATCGAAACAGGATGAACGATGCACGTGCGATATTTAACTTAGCATCATAGTACTCATGGATAATTACAGTAATTATACCTGTCCAGTTAAAACATTAAGAGTTGTTGATAACACAGCCCAGGGACACTACACCATCACAGCACCGACGTGCCGCCGTGACTTCGCTTTATTTCCAAAGTTGGGTCATACAAAAGCACTGGCCCGGAAAGTTCACTCTCTACGTAATGCGGCCCATATAACGCATTTTCAAGTCAATTCATTACATTCCGGGGTAACGTGAAATAACCTCTCTTGGCAACAATGTCGCCGACTTCTATCCTTAGTTATTATAGAAAAATAAAGTAACGGGATCGACATCGGAGACATAATAACTCTTATACTTACCCGTTTTCTCTAAACTTAGGAGTTACCGAAATCTGTCGCCTAAATATTTGAGAATCGCTTATGGTAAATAAGTAATGCCTAAATATATGACATTCATTATGCGGTACCTTGCGCAAGGTAGTTATTTGCGTAATATGTAATTAAACTATATAATTTGCTTAGGTCCTAGTTAAGTTATGCCGTTCTTGATTGGTGAAAATCTAATCGAAATTAATATAAGGAGAATTTCAAGTCTTTAAAATTTTGAGAGCAGTGTGTGATGATAAAAGGTCTTTCTTGTTACTGAAACACGGCCTTATTGAATCAAAGAGTGCAATTTTGCGCAGCACGCTAGTTTTCCCTGAAGGTGCCAACGATTCATTTATTTATTTTATGAATTCCAAGGATGTAGATAATTAATACACCTACTACCGATTGTTAAGACGCCAACTGCTCACATACCTTACATTAAAGAAATCATAAACAAAAGGAAGTTGAACGAACATAAAGATAGAAAAAAATAATTACAATCGAGAACCTATTGCCCCAGCACAAGCATTGTAAGAAAGCAATCAAAGTCGAGAACGAATGTACACAAGAGTACACCCCTGGTGATTCCAACCTCCTTGCTCGTGCATCGAGAGGTTGTTCCTATTGTTAGGGTCAGAGGTTGTTGCCGACTCTAGGTTATAATTATCGCCGACTGAATAGAAGGTTATGCGTGCTTTGTTTATGCGTTCATATTAGCTGTTTTGATTAACACATGTGAGCAGTGAATAGAGTAGCACGGCATCTAGTTGGCAATGATAGCATTGTTTGAAGATGAGAAATTCACATCAGTATGATTACTTTTTTGTAACTCTGTAGGTATTCAATGTTGAAATCATATAAGTACAAAAAAAATACTCTTGCTAGAATTCTTTAAGTTTTTCTCAGAATAGGCAGTGGAATTATGATTAAAGTCCAAATTGATTAATTTTTTTTAAACGGATGTGTAAATTACACAAAAGAGTGAGGTTTAGCATTAATTTGATTTCTCTTCTGTGATGAAGGCAAAAATTATTATTACTAAGTTACTTTATGTATTTGTTACTAACATAAAAGCAAATGGATAAATATATAACCTATATATGTATTGTAACAATATAAAACAACACATATTGTTCAAATCAGAAATTAAGTAGCTAAAGCTTTTATTATAGAAATCCGAGACAATGAAGATACCATTACATATATTAATATACTAGCTTTTGCCCGCAACTTCGTTTGCGTGGTATTAGTATTTACAGTAATTTATTTTTAAACACCAAAAAATAAAAATTGGTTTCCCATTTGAATGTTTTCTTCGTACTGTTTTTGTTAGACAAAGTATATTCTCGAAATAATCCCATTAAAACTTTGACGAAATTAGATCAGTAGTTTTATTTTAATAGAAAAAAAATCTGGAAGAACTACATCGCCTAAATTATCATAAAATTATCTTAAAAGCCCTTTACCGTTATTCTTGAACAATTTCTCACTGCTAAGCATGTTAATTATGTAGTAATTTTAATTATGTAGTAGTACAAAAAATATGTAGTAATTATGGAGTAATTTTTGTATATAGTAAGTAGTATACTGCATCCTCGATATTAATTAACTTATCGATGAAATCGTTATAATAAAATTTAGGAAACATTTTTAGTGATGAGATTCATATTAGAGTTCCGTACCCAAAGGGTAAAAAACAGAACCCTATTACGAAGCCTCCTTTGTACGTCCCACAGTATGTCTGTCCGTCTGTCGCCAGGTTGTATCTCATGAACGTTGCCGCTATTATAACATATACTAAAAATAAAAATAAAAAATATTTAAGGGATATCCCATGCAACCAACGCGATTTTTGCTTGCATGCACACAGCTCATTTTTATCTATAAGTATAAAATTTTTGGGCCAGAAAATACTGTACTATGTAGACTGCCAATATCACCGTGCGTAGGTGTTCTTTGTTAGTAAACGCTCTCTTAACCATTGTTACTTTCATTATTTTTATAAAAAAAAACAATAATAACACCATTACTACAGTCCCTCTAAGTATAAAAGTAAAATAATAACACTTTTATGTTTATTATATTTATAGTATTGCTTAAACTAATTATGAAATACAAATATTTTATGCTCGTTTTCAAGTGACCGCAAACAGCGCATGACGTTACGCCCTTCTTATCCATATCAGAACTTAGAGAATTCAACCTTATGCATACATAGAACGATATTCGTTTCAGAGTGCCGTGACGTCATAGCGACGCCATGAGAGTAATGACGTTTGCGCGGGAAATTTTGAAAATAAAATTTATTTTTAGATTTTAACTTCCTATTTGAATGATATTTTTTTTAAGATATATTTCATGTATATTTATAAAATAAAAATATTAAAAAAGTTGTCTACACCCCTATTGATTTGTTGTAAAAGAAAAATTTTATTTACATTCAACTTCTTCAACAATAAGCATATTTATTTCAATACAGATTCAATATCATCTACTCAAATATACATTAATATACAGACACAAAATTTAAATACACTTTTATGAAGTTTTTTTATTTTTGTGAAAAAATTTTGCACACAAATAATGCCATCGCAGAGTTTTTTATAGATATTTTAAAGCTTTCTACCTTTTCTTTAGAAAGCATTCGTATATGTCTTACTGTTTAGGCAGCATTCACAAAAATAGGCACACTTGGAAGTACTTCTATCTCTAGGGAACCTTTCAGTGAGATAAAAAGTAGCCTATACATTAATCCAGACCTTAATACCAAAGTTCATCAAAATATATCCAGTAGTTTTTGCATGAAGAAGTATCAAACATCCAAATCTGCTAACTTTCACCTTTATAATATTAGTAGGATATCATTTATAATTTTGTCATATTAACTTTATTTCAAATACAGAAGAGAAGCTGTTATCATGAGTTTTAATATATTCTAAACATTTGAGGTCAACAATGATACCGATTACTTTACAATTTTATCTGTTTCAATACTTTTAACCTTGAATGAGGCACAAAAAATCTGTGTATGAGTTCAATTTGAAGATATATTTTTTAGAAGGAAGTTACATTGTACTGCGTTTATCAAAAGTAGAATTTATTTGTAATGCAACAAGTCTACCATTGATTAGACAGAAATATATTGAAGAAACAACATTTACAGAAGTTTTATACTACAATAAGCAATTCAGTTATTTTTTCTACATCTTTGTTGCTGGTCAACAAACAATTTTAAATGACTACTTATGAGATTTGTAGTTACTTAAGATGTTGATTTTCATTGAATAGTCTTTATTTTTGATATCAACATTTTGTATACAATGTCTCACAGAAAGTGATGTACTCATTACAAGGTTAATAAGATGATTTATTTAAAGTTGATTCCCCAACACATGTTGAGTAATCAACTTTTTTTTCACCAAAGTTGTTTGATGGCAATTAAATGCAAGCTAAATAATACACAGTGTCTAGTTAAATATGTATCTAACTAAATCTATTACTATACTAGTTTAAAAAAAAAGATATTTGGACAATATAAAGTAGAAATAAGCGAAATAAAGTTTAAAAAAAAGTCTATAATATTTATTGAATACAAACAAGTATAAATTATCATTGGCATTCTTTATTTAATCAAAATTAATGAAAATAACCTCAATAGAACTCATGAAAGAATTTAAAAATCATTTTGAGAATTCCGATACATGGTAAAACAAGTGTTCAGTAACTCAACATTACTTCCTTGTCAAGAGCAAACAACTTTCGCTAAGACTCAACTGTTCTTGCAACAACCACTTTCAGCCTCGTGTCAACGTGGTCTGATGATTTGTAGGAACTAGGAAGTTCGCAAGAAAACAGGCCTTTAATATTCAATAAAACGACTCTTACAGGTCTCTTATTGGAATCATTTGCATTTACCTCACCAAGTTCCTGTGTGTCTGATGACCTCATGAGCAACTTATTTACTTACACAACGTAAGTTTACGCTACATATAGAAGAAACACGGATACTCACCGATATGTTTATCGCTGAAAATCCCAAACAAATCAAAAACTCAACTCACACGTTAGAACACAACACAGACTATTCACCTCTTGACATCTGACATATTTCGTAAAACGTACTGAAATTTCACAATTTTAGTTCACCATAAAAACGTCAATGTAAAATCTTCAACATAAAAACAATACTAAATAACAAAATTTGAGAAAAACGATCGCAAAATAACGATACAAAACGTAAACAGCTGGCTACTTTGACAATATCCTCAAACAAACTGACAATTAAAGTTGCCAACCCCAGATAAAAGCACTTTTGCCTTCAAAAGACATTGTTACCAACACTTAGAATATAACTATAGAAAGGAAATGTATATTATGTTCGGATACTCTAAAAATATATACTTCAGCAAACAATAACTAAAAAAATAAAGCAAGCCCTAAACAAGTGCGTGCATAAGTGGTTAGGTATAGCTCAGTGAAAGAGCCATATTGTTGTATGTACCTGTCAGATATCTGTTCAAAGATAGAATCACTTCTTTGAGTCTGTTTACTTTTTTTTGAGCTTTATGCAAATGTTTTTTTTCTTTTCATTTTTTTTGCATTCATTTTATTCAATTTTGATCCCTTTTATGTACCATGTACGCTACCCTCAAGGATATATCATCTTAGACTTCTGTAACGCCACTACATTTATCTAACGCTTACCTAGTGTTAATTTCTGTCGCCGCCGGCAGCGGCATTTTGATGGTTTGCAATATGGTAATAACTCCCACGTTTCCGCAATTAAATTAAGATTCAAAAGGACGGTACCTTTTATATTTCTCCCAATTTTATTGATTTCTTTTTATCTGTTATTTAATTCGGAAAAAGCCTACATGCTAAATCTATAATGTAAAAAAAAACATTAGTTCCCGAAATCAAACTAGATGTCGCTTCGGTTACATTCTTGATTTCTCCATGACAACCTTTCGGTTTTCTTTCATATTTAAAAGTAAATTAGTTTTCTAAACTCAATAAACAACTTATATTCTATTTGTACTTTTTTGTATTTGTATTGATTGATATCTAAGTTTCGAACTTTTCAAATTTCAATTTTTTAATATGTTAATTAAAAGTACCGGAAATGACTGTCTTTGGTCCATTCGTTGCCTGCAAAAATCAACTTTTGCTAGAGTCGCCATCTAGTGGAGGTGCTCATTTAGTGCTTTCTTTTTTTTAAATACTTCCTCATTATTTTTTTAAACATTCTCTTATCATGGGTATTAAATGAAAGGATTCGATGAGAAATTACTATAGGTATAAACTTTTTTTTCTATTTCCTAATCGGCAATCAGAACAGACGTTAGATCAGCATGCCTATTCGCTAACTCAGCTGACAGCGTAAAGTAAAAATCACCATAATATATATATACTTTTTTTTAAGTGAACAATTACAATATGTCAAAATCACTTATTCGTATGACAGCTTGCCCACAGAGCTCTGTGAACAATTTGTTTCGGTTATCCTTAGAGTTACATACATAACAAGAGGGCACATTTTCAGTCGTAGGTGTAAGGTCATTTTTTGGAAGTATAATTGGATTAAAAGTATAATTTACCTGTTAAAATTCATTCCGAAAATAAATCTGCGCTTACATTAATAACATTTGTTTTATTTTTAATGAAATCAATTACCTATAATTATATTTGTTTTTCTGCAGTCGTTGTAGACAATTATTTTACTGTAGGTACACTAAAGAGCCAGAGCTATAAAAACCAATAAAAAAATTGTTATGTCAAATTTAATATCGTCACCATCAGTGATCTGTCATTTTATTCGATTGTTATCACATTTGTTGCTAAAAATACATATTTAGAGACGAAGAAGTGCTTTCTTTTGTGTCGAGTTACAACAATTACTTATAAAGTGGCGTAGAATATTTGTAACTAATGTCGAAATTCGAGGATAATCCGTTTAGCGATCCGACCATAGACAACCCCTTTGCTGTAAGTAGCCCTTTCAAAGAAAATAAAGATTATTTATTTAGTATTTGTATCACAAATTTTTAAATCCCGTTCCAGGACCCGGCGGTGCAGCAAGTGGCAAGAAGCACTAACAATGCCACGCGTGGTCTGGACGATTACAACCCCTTTGATGGACAACAAAATGCAAATCAGGCTACGGTAATATTCAGTACAAGAAGTTTAGTGGGTGTCGATAGCAATCGACGACACGATAAAAGCAATAATGTTTTGGTGAATTTGTCTAACCTTAAACCCTTTATATAAAGTGGTATGATATACAGTAACAATTTGTTATTGGTTTTTGAGCTACCACTTTCTCAATTATTTTTACTTTCAAGTATCTCAATACCATCAATAGGGGAAACCTCAGCAATGGGGATGTTAATAACCTGATTATAAATACTGAAATATAACATTTGACTATGAAAAATATTTACATACTTTTTTTACCAGACATTAGTCACTCTCATCCATTTATTTTTCAATGTCGTTCAAAATTATCAATTAAGTTAAAAATATGCAGTGAGTTAACAGTGCTGCCATTTTAGGAAAATAATCTAATCTTATATTTGTTGAATCAATCTTAGTCTGTTCCTCAGACATACTTTTGTATGTCTATTATTATTATTACATATTAATTGTTTAGATTTCCGGCATAGAATTCACTTGTCGCGAGGTCAATGTCCGTGGGGTTTTAATGTTAATAACATAATTTGTGCATCCTATCAGTGCTACCAAGACCTGTATGATAGCAAGAAGAAAGTAGCGAAGCAATCAAGAATCAATAGTTTCTTTAAGCCAAAAGTTCAATTTATTATTTCTCATTGCATATTTTAATTATTAAAGTTTTATTATTATTATTGAAATACCAAAAATAACTAGCAATTTCATAAGTACATTTATAATTATTTAAAGTTTTTATTACTTTCTTTTCATACTAAAGTATGTATATTCCTTGTTATAAATGTATTTTTTTGTTTATTTTGAGTCCGTGTGGAACCTAACCCGTGAGTTTTACATGTAAACATATGAGAAAATATGTCTCGACTTACGTTGTTTCGCTTTACGTTGCGTATTTTGAGAACCTAACATACCGTAAGTACGAGGACTGCCTGTATATCTATCCTGTTTTCTGGAATCAAAATCATGTCAACCAGTAGCTCTGTTTAAAAGTCTTGTTTAGAATGAATGTTTAATCTCAGCTAATATCTGCCAATAATTAATAAAATTTAATTCGAAGTGATAGTGGCTTGGCAGTAGATTAAGTTTGGGAAAACCTGCCCTAATTCATTACTCATATTTTCATATTCACATCTCACATAAAAGTTGGTATGTATTTTGCCGATCTACTTTAATTCCAAAAATAGCATAATAAAAAAGTGAATTCACATAGAAACAAAATATATATAATTAATGAAAAGTCTCACAATTTAAAATGACCTCTGCTTGTAATGTTTCATGTGTAAATTGGATAGAAATAATTATTTTGATCATGAGCAAAAAAAAAAGGAGATTTCAAATCATTATTTTCTTGAGAGTTTTGTACACAATTATGTTAATTTTAGTAAAAATTACAAATTCTTTTTGTTATTATTTCATAGAGATAGTTCTGTACGAAGATGGTTTCAAAAATTCTTGGCCCAACAAAGAAAACAAAAAAAAAGTGTTTTATATTTCTACATATTCTTCTTCTTTTTTCTCATTGGCTCATCTGCACTTTTTTTACATATTCTCCCCTTGTCTCAATACAATGGCACTTGAGATACAATTAAATGTAGAATCAAGCTGTCGAATGACAATAAATTAGTTTACATGGGTAGTATGTCAAATCTCATTTGACTGAGAACTTTTCGAACCACCCTCGTATAACATAATCAGTATGAATTGATAAAAACTCAATATTAATCAAGAAAAAAATATGATTCATACTCATGAGTCATTGATGATTACATTGTCTGTAGGCAAAGTTTGTCAAACTGTGTTTACATTTCTTTCTTTACCTATGATACACATTCACATACTAATTAACATAATTTTACTAATCTTTTTTTATTTCAAAGCTGTATTGTGGATTGTTTTTAAGATAGGCATAAATTAAAGTTGTGTAGTATGATTTTCATTTATAATTGTATAAAAACACAATAAAGGGACTCATATTCATGCTCTAATTGGAATTCATTAGATATTGACCTGATATTTAAACCTAATATTAGGTCAATGACTCAAAATATGACAGAAATCAAAGAATAATCTTAGATTTTTTACATTAGCCATGCAAAAAAGCATGTTATCAATAATTTTTTTATTTATATATAGCCATCACAACAGCCTACACAGCCTGCGATAATGCAGGCTGTATCACCACCAAACAGTGGTGGTCAGTACCAGAGACCTACACAACAACAGCAACCCCAGGGACCTCCACCAAACTTTACTACTGCAGACTTTCAGGTATAAATAATTTAATAATTATAAGTTATGTGCACACGGCATCACATTAAGTTACTACAATATATTGACTTGCTACAATCAGTTTTTAACTTAATGTCTATAGATTAACTCTTAAAATTGTTAAAAGATTTTTTTGTAGTAATCTAAAGTGCTGTTGACTGTATATATATACACAGTTGCCTTTAGATCTAATTAATAGGTGCGCACATGCACTGGCATCACTGCTTTGCCATTTATATATAAATACACTATTAATTCCAAAAGAACTGAAAAATATAAAGTTAAGAGCCATCTCTAATTATTGGAAACAGGATCTATACGTATTTCTCTGTATTGCTTAGGATCCACAAAAAGGTTTTATATTCTAATATTTTATAGATGCGCATAGTATTTGAAATTGATACAACTAATAATAAAAAAAGTTGACATTTACAGGAGATTTTTTGTAGCATTTAGAAAATATTTGAGATTTTTTACTGGTTAATAAAAAAATGTGCACTATAAATTGAACTATTAATATTCTCAAGTTTAAAAAACAAAATAGTAGTACATACTTTGAATGCATGCATATTAACACGCACTTTGATTTTTTAATGCACAACAGGAGCTAAAGGTAAATATACAGAGATTATACTACTCGCTTACATCTTTATTTTTCACTTACATTATAAAGTTAGAAAATTAGCAAGACTGCACATAATTAGAATTTACTGCACTAAAAATTAATTATTCTTTGACATTAACTTTTTAACATCTGAAAAGTATTATTTATTAGATTACATATTTTATTTTCACTGTTCTAGCATTCTTAAAATAGTAACCTCAGACTGCCCACTCAAATTTTACTAGTACTTGTGTGAAGTTGTTATCTTCAGTTATTTAGTCAATTGACACCAACTACATCCTCAGTTAAGATTTCTAACAGTCGACTGACTATACATTATATTTTTAAGCTTCTCAAAATTTGTAATGGATCTATAGCAGTATTTGTACTTTAACTAAGATTGTTTCTTTCATTTGGTAGTATGTAGTAGATTAGATAGGTTTGTGTAGACATGAATGAATTTGAACTGCAGAGGCGGCAAGAGGAGCTAGAACGTAAGGCCGAAGAGTTGGCACGACGAGAAGCGGAACTAAGAGCGGGATCAGCGGGAAGACGTAATAATTGGCCACCACTGCCTGCCTTCTGTCCGGTGCAACCATGCTTTTACCAAGACATCAATGTCGATATCCCCTTGGAATTCCAAAGGATCGTACGCCACTTATATCATCTATGGATGTGTGAGTTATATTTTTTTTTTTTCAAATTATTCTATTGTCTTTTGGAATACTCTTGAATGTTCAGAAGAAAATATAAGGGTTAATATGTTAATGGAAAACAACAGCAAATATGTGATTTCATTGAATAGAACTACAAGCTATTCTGTTCAATGAAATCAAACTTTCTTCAAAAGGTAATAATGGTTGTATTTGATTGAACGTCTAATGTTGTGACAGTGCTGCGTTCGACGATATATTTTTGTCAGAATATCGAAGCAAAACGATAGAAAGTAAGGTAGTTAATTAGAATAATCAATACATTGTATGTGACGAATATTTTTCTTTCTAGAAAACTCATCAAATATTCAAATCATTATTATTTTTAGACAACACGTGGTTTATTATTGTGCTTGAATACGCTGCAATTAATTAAAGATTTGTTATCACAATCGACGATAATTTTATCTTTATCAAGAGGTGTTTTAATGTAAATGATAATGTAGTTTTATGCTTAATCCATTAAAAAAACCCAAAGATAAAGTGTAATATCCCTAATATTTATTTTATACAAAACACTTTATGAACATTGCACATACAATGTATAAAAATTAAGGACATGAAGTGGGCTACGATCAGAGTGTAAATATGAATTTTATTTTTTAAATAATAGTGTTCAAGTTTTATGGTACAAACACTTAAGAAGTTATGTCAAGTAATTCAGTTGGCAGCAGTCATACACAATAGCGAGAAGCCTTAGGTTTAATTATGTTCTGGAAGTGCCAGACATAGTTGAATTTTCTCAAGCGTTATTTTAATATGAGACTAAGGAACTTAAACATTGTTACTTATTGGATATAATTCGTATTTTTTGTGATTATACGCGATAACATAATCTACTTTTCGACTAGTTAGTACAAGGGCTCTATTTGCAGAATTGTATTACTAAAACGGGATAATATTAAACAACAAAAATTGCAATTTGTTTTATCAAATTCAATATACAAGACATTACCAACATTGTGCAGATTTCAAATTAAATAGGTAACTGAAGCCCTTATATTATCAAAATTTGGAACAACGAAGGTACCATCCAGCAATGACGCAATATCAAAAACTTTATTTTTTATATTAAGTTACATCTTGAAACCGGCATGCGGGCTATTCTGCCAAGAAAGTCGTTGACCGTTTTGTTTACCGTACTTATTTATTATTTTGAGAATTATTTGCTGAGTTATTGATAAAAATTTCTAAAATTAGGGCTGATAATAACTCATGTTTACCGTAATTATGATTTGTTTGCAGTCCACGCACTAGTGTTAGCTGTGAACATCATTGGCGGTATGTCGATCATGTTCGCGGGCCAGGGTGTTGAGACCTTCGGTCTGTCAATCCTATACTTCATCCTCCTTACACCGTTCAGCTTCATATGCTGGTACCGGCCTATCTACAAGGCGTTCAGGAGCGACTCTTCTTTCAACTTTATGGTCTACTTCTTCATATTCCTGTTCCAAATCATCATCACCATTGTGCAATCAATCGGATTTTCAGGTGGAGGTTCTTGGTGAGTTTTAAGAAATTAACTCTGTTTCATATAACATTAAATATTTAAAGAAAATCTGGTAAATGGTTGAACATAAAAATAAAATAGTTCTAAAATATAATCTTTAGGTCAAAATATTTCCTGTTTTTATAGACAATTTAGCTACGCGAAGGAAAAGGCCGTAAAATGTCCAGATCAGAGGTTCCTAACCCAGGGGTTAATAAGCTATTCTGTAGGCATAACAAAGAACCCTGAGATTGAGGAGCTGGATATCGCAGTGGTTAGCACGTTCGGGTCTGCGATACGATTGTTAAACAACTTTCGCAAGGGCATTTAATTTAAAATTATTTTTTTTGTTTAAAATTATTGACCTCAAGCTACTAAGTGCCTCGGAAGGTACATTAAGCCGTTGGTCCTAACTACATTTGCAGTCGTTAAGTGCCCCAGCTGTGGAAACATAGCCTGATGTTGATAATGATGAACAAAGAGCGTAATAATTAAGATTAAGTTTATAAAAAGAATTATAAAATTATTTCAGTGATAAATATGCTATGACTTGCTTTAACCAAACATAAAACTGTAAAATCAATTTACCATAGACGTCATAGGGATAACAATCTTGAAAACGTCAACCATGGACAAACTTACTACAATACCTATATGAGGGAATTTATTTGATTCGCATTGTACGTTTAACATTTTCACGCAAAAGCGAGCCCTGTTATAATTACCGCGCCTATTAAGTCATTCGGAAAACAAAAGCAAAGCGAAACTTTTTTTAAATTCAGTTGCAATGAGTCAAAATACCTTAACGCCCATTTTCACTTAACTAAGGAGTCGCCCAAATCTGACACCTAAATAGTTATTTGAGCATTATCTGAGGTGTAAATGCGTTTCACCAATGACAAGGAGCCACCGAACGACTTTATGCAACGCCTAGAGTCAGGACATGCATTGTGCGACGACTAGTGCTGGGCATTTGCGTAATGTGACAGATACATTTACTCTTTGGCCATAACGGATGTGTCAAAGTATAAGTTGAAATCAAGGAGTTAAAGAATTCGTTCAAATACAAGACCACGTATATTTTTTCTTGTTTTATTGCCTCAAAATACTTTTTTATTTATTAGTAAAAGCTACAAACGTTACATTGGCGGAGTTGTGTAAACGCAAATAGACCATACATTAAAAAAGAGGAGAACTGAAGTATGCAAGAACATAGACAAACGTTGCCTATCTATGCGAGTGCATAGTAAGAAAATACCTAATATTATAGGTTTGGTGAAACGAACGACAAATCTGTTTACACTGCCCTTAATAATAAATAATTTATATTTGAGCTATACCTTGTTCCTAACCTAGAGGTTAGTGAATTATTTACTTCTTGTTTTCCAGTGGCCTGATTACCAGCATTTCTATGTATTCACACAACGTAGCAGTCGGTATAATCACCACACTAATTACCATTGGGTTCATCACATGTGTTGTGGCTGATGTAATGCTGATGGCAAAGGTAACCTGTTGTTGATTATTTTTTCTCTCATACAAAAAAGTATCAATTAATCGGGAATTTTGGAGAGGCTATCACCAACTATGTTTTGCTGCAAACGAAATTTTCGAAACGGTATTACTACATTTAACTTTAGTGACTGACACCCGTATCTATCGACGTATATAAGTAATTATTTAAGCAAATATTCTTCACAAATAAACAAGAATTGAAATGAAGCAGGAACTGATAATAGTAAGAATACTATTATTATTAGCTAATAACAGTTCAAAACTTTGGACTTTAGGTAGATATTATTCTATTGAGATGCGATAAATAGTAAACATTAGCAGAAGTGGCCTGCTGAGCATTTTATTTTATTCAACAAACCGTGATTTATTTGCCTGTTTCCAGTACGGAACCCTTTTTGTGTAAGTGTGCTTCGTTTTTGCCTAATTTTTAAAAAGATAATATCAAATTTGAATTATTGGACTGTCGACCTCAGAAAGGTGGCCGGCAATGGAGGTCGTGTTTTGTGACGCACTCTGGGGGAGGCCTACGTGCGTCAGTGGACTGCAACAGGCTGATATGTCATTGATGTCGTGTGCCAATCGTCGAATTGAGCCGATCGAAATTTCCCTGTGCATATCACTATATGCCGCCATTTCTTGATTTATCCAGGAATTCACGATCGGTCCGGTTAAAAGTTTGGCAGATCGACGAAAGCAAAGTATTTGACAATTTACCTGATTTTTATTGTTTAAATAAATAATTATTAATTAAACTTCAGTTTATTTGCTCACATAAAGAGATGGGTAGTAAGAGGAAACCCGGGTTGCTGCCCATCTCTGCTTACATAGTACTTTGGTCATCCTACAAAATCGATTGGCCCGAGTATAGTCAGGCAAATCGTCAAACGTCAAGCATTTAACGATATGGCGGATGATAGATGGCCAAATCAAAAATGGCGGCATATCGTGATATTCCCGGGCAGATTTCGATTGGTGCAATAGGGATGATGACTAATTTTTGTTGTGTTTGTCCGTCAGGTAGTGTTAAAAAATATTAAAAGCGTATTTTTTTATTTTTTACGTAATCATAAAATTACGTCGTTACATGGAGTTGAAATTTTGCATGACGTCACGTTAAAGTACGTTTTCTACTCAACTGTGACGTGGCAAGCCCCCACTCCTCAACTTTAATGCCTGTTATCTAAGCTATTTCTTGTTAAATTGAAGTAAAAAAAAATACGTATCTAATATTTTTTCTATTATCTGACTGACGGACTAAATAGAATTTTTACCCAATCATCATCCCTATTGAACGATTGGCTCACGACATTGATAAGCTCAACGGAATTTGGGATAAAAGCTCTTAAGGTGGAATGTTGATAGGTAAAGTTTCGTGTCGCTTCAGGTACACCGTATATACAGATCGACGGGCGCATCGCTAGCTAAGGCCCAGGCGGAGTTCACGACTGAAATCCTCCGCAACCAGCACGTACAGACCGCCGCCTCCAGCGCCGTCGCAGCCACAGTCAATGCGCAAATCGCCAACGCCAACGCCAACAGATACTAACCTCCACGGTAATTATATCTACGTTTATATTAGGGTTTTCAATCTCTGAATACAGAGTAGGGATGGTCGATATTAGAAAAATACCGATGTTGACATCGATATCATTATCGAAAGCCCAACATCGAGGTTCCCAAAAACTGAATTATTGTAAAAATCATTGACAAAGAACTAAAATACAGTGAAATCTTTCGACATTTACTGAGGAAAAGAACAAATTATTACATATTCAAATAAATATTTTTTATCAAGCAACTGAAGAAAAAGTAAATTTGATAAAGAAGAACCTTTATTCTATTTCTTTGTTGATAAAAACTAGAGCCAGCATTTGAAAACATGTATTTCATGATATGAATGTATTATATACTATACTATATATATAAAATATTTTTTTTTCTATACCTATTAAACATCCATGTATTTGGTAATATTGATTATTTCCAATTGATATTAATATTATCATTATATAATGCATTGGTCTTGTGTAAGACCGTCAGAAAACACCAATGATCGATTAAGTTAAAATCGACTTTAAGATATTTTTCGTATAGCAACATCGATTTTTTGCTTTTAACGTCGATAATCATCGAACATATATGTATTGTGGAGTCCAGGATTTTTTTCCACGTGTTGTGTGATAAGGGATGTTACCAACTCGGTATCGAATGAAAAGTATCGATATTTACACATATCGAATAATTTTATAATGTCTCATTGTCATTTTATGATTCATAATTAAGTTGAAAGTCGTTTATTAAAAAGTGTAATCTTTCAGTGACTCTTTAGACTGTAAATGTTTCTTAGTTGTACATATTTTATGCTCTTCTGTCTCATAAGGTTGCCGACTTCTGCCGGCCACTAATTCCGGAAACATTTCACTAAATGCCGATACTATGTCAGATATATTTCTGTTAATAAGGTAAAACAGACAGAGTAAAAAAAATTCTATTTAGTCCATCAGTCAGATAATATAAAGATTCAATTTACAAACAGTAACTTCTATAACAGCCTTTCAAGTTGTGCAGTAAAAGTTCGCTACGTCACAGTTTTGTAGAAAATACAAAATCGTGATATAATAAATAATTGATGTATGCGCTATTTCGGAATGTAGCAACACTCATATTGGGTCGATGTAAATTTAACGGAACATTTTTCAAGTGTCTCTTACAATGCGTGGTATACATGGCACTTAACTTTGAGGCTGTGAAATTATTAACATACGCAGTTCCCGCACACACTCGCAACATCCGTGCATATCTAAGAAATCGTGTTTGCAACACGTGACTAACTTCAAACTCGCAATATCATTATTATTTAGGGGAAAAGTACGATTTTTCATTTTCCAGATTATTTTCATCATTCAAGAAAGATTGTCATCGTTTTTACTAAAATCCCATCGACACTCTTTGGCTTGTTTTAAATAATTGTATTTCACTTTGTTTCAGGTATTATATCGGTTAGAGAAATGAATATTCGTAGAAGTCAAGAAGTACATACATTTAAATATTTGAAATAGTCTTTTCAATAATCACTATTTCTACATGTTTTCGTGGATTTTTATATCATGTAATTTATTGATGTAAGAATACTTTTCGCAATTTATATCGCTGCACTTGTATTCTACCTCATATTGATTGTTTAAATTAGAAAAGAAAAACGTATCACCTGTGTTAACTATTAACGATTAATTAATTATTGCGATTCACTTAAGTGTTTCTTAATGGGAATTTGCTAGTGTACTCGTTTAGTTAAGTTTCTATATCGCTTCGAGGAACATATCGTTCAATGTTCTTGGTATATTGAAGTATGTTTTGAAACTAATTAATTAAATTATTATTATGAAATAATTTTAAAGTTATTAGTTTTACAGCCAAAATGTGATATGGCTGTGTAATGCTTATAATATTGTTATATGTATATTCTTTCATTAGAATTTTTTTCTATCCAATCTAATGAGCGCCTACCGTGGTGTAAAGTTTAATTGACTTAAGATAGTATTTATTTTTTTAAACCATATGAGCTTAAACACGCTTAAAGTAATCATCATCATGTTCTGTTATGTCATGGTAACCATTATTGTAGCATCTCATAAAACAAACAGTGTGAATTTCAATAATCTTATTATTATAAGGTTTATTAGAAATTCGTTTGCTAAAGACTATATTCATCAGCATTGATTACAGTCAGTAATTGAGAAGGTAATATAAAACCAGTAGTATATTAAATATAACCGGGTACTTGTCAAATGTAACATTATGTTTTGATATTGTTTTTTCTAAATCTGTAGTTAAAAATGTTGTTCAATGTTAAATTGAGTGTTATCATTCCAAATGTTGTGTAAGGTAAGATGTAAAATAAACGTCCTTTGAAAAAAACTATGCTAATTTTTATCTATAATTAATTCATATTGAATTTCGATAATCATTAAATAAATGTTAAACCGAAACCAATCAATGTATGTATGTACTTGGACCATTTACTTAATCGTTTTTAGATATTTTCATGTTTCTTGCCTCTTAAAGTAATTCAGTTGCGCAAAGTGTATAAAAATAGATTAAGTAAAGAAATCTGTTTACTAGTCATTCGGACTAAACTGCTTGAAAACTGACAAAGCTAATTGGAGCCGCTTAATATTATTATCTAAAATGATAACATGACTGTCTTATTAGGATACTCTCAATAAGTAGAATTTATGTATCTGGGCCTAGCATAATGTAAATTATTTAACAGACCGTCCTTACCCAGATAATGGTAAGAGAAGGAAACTAGGTTTACCTAAATGTTTACTGTTTTGTAACAATTAAGTCATGTTAAACTTATAATTAATAATAAATACTTATAGTTTCAGAATAATCGTTTTAATTTTTGTAGTTTTATAAAAGTAAACTTCAAATACATTCATTTTATTACATTTATTCTACAAAATCCAATAGTACAAGATAATCTTATACATAATTAGTTTTTGTTATAATTAATATTGTATACTTAGTCAACTAAATAAACAAATTGTAATATTTATATAAATTGTAGTCGAATGAGGCCTCCACTCAGTGTTCGGAACCTGAAGCTAGTAAACTATCATACCAGTAGTAGTATTTAATAATTTCAGTTATCAAAACAATTACTTGAAGAACAAATAAATTTAACATTTTATTACCTTGTAGTTTATCAGTCGAAAAATACTATTTTGGCTGTTAGAAAAAGCTAATTACAGGTTTTAAAACAATGAAAAAAGAATTGGTATAAGTTTAGAAACAGTTTTAAAAACTCTATACTGGATTTTAACATTCCATGTGATCTCATATTTTAGCGGAAGCCTTTGTGATACAATACTTTGTATATTTTCAAAACTATTTATAATTTGTTTACTAACCACACTAAAAAAAATTTAGTACGTACATAAAATATAATATTGTCAGAATTTGACAAGTAAAAACATAATGTTTTAACAAACTGTCTAGGGCTAGGTTTGCGGGGCGTTTGCGTGGGCGTGGGCGCCGAGTCGACTCGGGTCTTGGCTGGGGTAGTGCAGCGAGAGGGGCGCAGGAGGAGGAGGCGCGGGGGGCGCGCCCGCCGGCGGCCATGGGGCCCACCCCGCAGGGGGACCGTAGTGGTGCAAGTTGAAGAAATCGTTGGGCCGGTTCGGGGGTGGAGGCATCTGTGAACAATAATTATCCAAATAAGATAGATCGCATGGCAGATTCAACTCACTCAGTGCTATTAATAAACAAGGATTAGAGTCAGAGTAAATTTATGCTAAAATAGCTATTTTTGTATTAGTCCAAATTCATATTATACAAAGAATAAATAAACCTACTACCTTCTAAGAGTAAATATTACTCCTGTAGACCCTCGTACTAGATTAACCTATGCTAAGTCTACGGTTTCATAATATGAATTTTGACTAAGTTACTAAGTTTAGTCTCAGCGTAAATTTACTCCAACGCTAAACCTTGTTTATTGATAACACTTAGGGTTTAAGTATATCGGCTTGCATCTTTGCTGTGCTTGTATAAATGGTAATGTATAATTTTTTTGCAGTTTCAAACTTTTGTTTATTCGTAATGCGGTCTGAGCTTATAATTCCACAAAACATACATCAAATGTCTACCTAATTAGTCGAAATGAAAGAATGGAAGGCTCGTGATACATAAGATAGTAAACTGGAAACTGTACAGAAATAATCTTAATTTACTATAAAAGCAAATCACAATGGTGAACCCATGGTAATCCAGACCTCATCTAGTACAGACCCCCGACAAACATTTTTAGCATTATAAGTCATTATTTTTCGAAGTCCTATAAATAGTGACGATTTTATTTTCATAATATATTGTAGAAGGACTACTGAGGGTCTTCGATGCAGGGGTCTTAGTCGTTAATTCGACATCATATAAAAGCGATGAAAAATTCAATAGGATTCAGTCGTGGTTTCGATTGCATGCATTCATATATTCGTATTGTAACTATGTTACCGACATACCTGCGGCTGGAATGGATGTAAGAATGCAGGAGGAGGTGGTAAAGTTCCAGGTAAACCAGGCACCGGTTCCAATGGTGGCGGCATTTCATTCTTTTCATTCAAACCTTGACGACCTTTGTAACAAACATCATATTGTCAAGTCAAGAAAGGAAAAATGACAAATATTATAAATAATAATTATTTCATGACTCTAACCTACTTGACAAGGGAGCATTTTAAAAGCTCAATAAAATATATGTTGTTGTTGCATCATTTTATATTAATCTAAATTACAATTAATAATAAAATCAGTTCACTAATATCAGAGTTGAATGTCCATACAGCGGCAAATAAGATCCCTACAAAGCGAAAAAGAAAATTCATTTCTTAAGAAAAGTGCTTAAAAAATCCGCAGCCCTTTTTTTTACGAAAACCAGTTTGAACAGATTAAGACTAAGTGGATCACAGAAATTTAACATTCTGTAGTAAACTTATGTGTACTTAACTGAACTTTTATATCTTTCATCTATTATCAAATAATTATCTCAAACTTTTTATCACCCACAACAACAACATTATATGCATTTAAATTTTTCGTAAACAAAATATTTATCATAAATTATATGTGAAATTTCTTCATTAAAATCCATTATACATTCGTGTCTTAGTCTTATGTTTCAGCAGTAAGTGAACTATGTATAGATTACTAAACACGCAACATTACCTTGAGATTTACCCCACTTGATAGTAAGCCGCTTCCCTCCTATTACTAGTCGATTAAATGTTTTCTCAGCTGCATGTTCTGCAGCACTTCTGGTTGTGTACTGTACAAAGGCACATTGAGCTCTGGGCACCAGTGTAAGAGATCTATAATTAACAACAAAATAAAATGTTCATTAACTTTTTTAATTCTCAGATTTTATCAAATTACTACTTGCTATATAATTTCAATAATATAAAAATTATATTATAATAGAACTAGGCATATTATGTCTTAATTCTAATTTTGATTCATTCTCTAGAAACAATTCCAAACCAAAACAAAAAATGTATAGTTCACTTTAAAATATTGTTTTGTTGACATACCTTATTTCACCATATTGATAGAAATGTCCTCTTAATTCATCCTCTGTAATATTGTCTGGCAAATTTCCAATATAAAGTGTTGTAACAGTTCTGTCTTCAGGTGGAGGCAGTGCTGGCATAGCAGCGGCACGCCTCATCAACTTTTCTGCCACAGGATCATTTACACCATAATATCTGTAAACAATAGGAAACTATAAGGTTGGATGTACTATTATGAAGCATTAATAGGTTAGAGCAGAGGTTTTCAAATGTTCATCTTCCATGTTCATTTAAAATTTAAATAGTTTTATAAACCTCCTTGGCACATTTCTACCATATTCCCAATAATCTCCTCAAAAATATCAAAAAAGAAAGAAAAATAATTAGTTGGGGGTTATATGTGATGAGTGGATCTTTGGGGTCCATGTAAACCATTTATGGAACCACAGAGTTCCATCATCAGTGTTTCATAATAATTGCATGACAATAGAATATCATATATATACTTATGTCACCAATAAATGCCATTGATCCAAGGAAGACATTGCATTAATAATATTGAACTTCAGGTAGATAGTACAATGGTAAAATGCAAGTCATTGAGATGCAATTATTACATAGACCTAGCAAACTCAACTTGCTGGTGTTTCATAACCCCATTGCTCCCTGGGCACTGCATGTGCACTTGCATTATTATTGCATTGTTATAATCATACAAATATGTACCAGCGACAAGTGAGTTACAGAGCGGTTTTCATACTAGTGTATAGGTAAGTTTGTGCAAGGCTTAGAAAATGTTATACTAAAAATAGTATTTGAAAACTTAACCAAAATAATTTAAGCACACCTTTTTTTATTGAAACTATATAATTCAATGGCACTGTTGAACTAATTCAGACATACCTGTCCTTGATATTTTGATCAGCTAGTGGGTCATCTGGATCTGTAGGTTTTTCATGTCTATATGGACACTCTTCACCTCTCCTACATTCTCCCTTAACCCAAAATGAACACACATGAGGTCTATTCCGTTTGTAGTAAGGAGCGGTTCTCGCTAAGCGCAGCAGTAAATCAGATGCGCCTTTAGATTTTAAAGCAGAATTACTAGGCTGCGTTGAATCAAATTTAGACATTTGACTGTCCAAATTCTGAATATAGTATTCCTTATTCACTTCATTGCGAGGTAGATCATCTTGGATTTTCAAAGCAGCATCTCGTACTTGAATTGGAAGTCCATATTCAAGATCCAACAGACATGTTTGACAAACATTCTTGAGTTTAGAGCATGTCTGGCAAATCTCAGTTTTCTTAAAACGCATTCTTGAACCAGGGCACCAACGAAAGACAGTGAATGGACGAGCACAAATTTTACACTCCTTTCCATATTTTTCCTTAGTCTAAAATCAAAACAAATATATGTATTTAAAGTAAATTGAAGTTAGTAACTTTCTTCCTACTAGTTTAAATAAGAAGGACTTACCATTCGTATATAAGGGTTATCTCCAAGACATGTCTGACATAGTATTGGGAAGTCCTAAAATTACATAAATGCGTGTTATATAGTTACCGACCAGGTACAACCATTTCAAATTAATTGTGGAAATATTGTTATTTTCAAGCTCATGCAAATAACTTACCGAATCTTCCCAATTTTGTCGATTATAAGTATTTGTAGATTTGGACACAGCCATTGTATAAAATCAAATTTTAATAAATTTCTTGAGCGAGTATGTACAGTGTACACTAAGCAAATTTAAACAATTTTCAGTGCACTAGAAATAAATGTACGCTATCTTCTACCACCTGCTCGCTATCATCACTATTATTTATACACTGCAACAAAGAACACACAACGAAAGAATAATTCACAATTTATTTCAATTTATTTCACAGCCAAGAGAAAGGAGCATCATCTACGCAAAGAGAGCACAGACTAAGAAAGAAACACCACGTATTAGAGATGTGCCGAGTCAGACTGACTCGAGTACTTACTCGAATACCTAGCAGTTACTCAGGTACTCGAGTACTTAAATTACAGAATGAGGAAGTATTTAAAAAAAAAAAAAAACATTAGTTCCCGAAATATAACTAGATGTCGCTACGGTACATTCTTGATTTCTCCATGACAACCCTTCCGGTTTTCTATCATGTTTAAAAGTAAATCAGTTTTCAAAACCCAATAAACAACTCATATTCTATTTGTACTTTTTCGTATTTGTATTGATATCTAAGTTTCGAACTTTTCAAATTTCAGTTTTTTTATATGTTAGTTAAAAGGAACGGAAATTACTGTCTTTGATCCATTCGTTTCCTGCAAAAATAAACTTTTGCTAGAGTCGCCATCTAGTGGAGACTTTTTTTTAAATACTTCCTCATTCGGATACGCTGATACTCGAGAACAGGATTCGAGTACTTACGGTATTCGAATCCTAAGTCGTGTACTTTAATAGCAACCTTTTAGCTTAACACGTGCGATATTATTTGTGACTAATGGTACAGAACAATTCGTTCAGAAAGTACTTCGTTTCGTACTATAATTTTATTTTCGCTGATTACTAATAATTTTATAGAAGAATATTTTTATAGAAGAAAATAATATGCACAAAAGTTTGTAATTGTTAATTTTAATTATAAAACAATTATAAACCGCACCATCCACGTGATCCAAGTTATGTGAAGAGTTTATATATTTAATATGCCTAATCATCACTCTCACAGAATTATTTTCTTTTATTTAATTTCAATTAAAAAGTTTAAAATAATCGATATCGTTTAGTATCGATATCGACACTTATAAACTACCTATGACTGTCTATCGGTCAGTTGCACAAACGTCCATTAAGGTTTAATGACGCCTTCAGCTCTAGTGAATCTCAAATTAGTATAAGTAACGCCGCTTTAAATTAATGACAATGTTAATGGACGTTTGTGCAACTGGTTTATTTATTATTTATTATCATAAGACACACTAACAGTACAAAAATCGAAACAATAATTACGTAATCACCAAGAATCACATCTGATATTTGCACCAATTATAAGCGTGTACAGCATTGGCAAATTGTGTTACAATTGAAATAAATTTAATACAAATTTACAAATTATAAAATAAAATAATAATTCTAATTGATTAAGAATACTCAAATATTACAATTAATACATTGCAATGTTAAATTCTACTTAGTCATATAATACAAATAAAAAAATAAAAAAATTAGATATGTTGATATTGCATGTCAGTTTGAAATAAAATTAGCTTAAAAAAAATAAAAGTGATTAATTTAAGTAAAAATAATAATAATCAAAATTGTCAATAGAAAGATACTCAAAATCTACCTCCCGAGGACAATGATTCAAGTACTCTATCCCTGAAAGTTGACAACGAAACATGAAAGATATCGATATTATCTTTGCTGTTCAATCTATTATATTCTTGGCACATTCTTACTAATGGCGAATTGAGACCGAGATTGGTTCTAACTAGTGGAGTGTGAAAGGTTTTTTTTAATGGTTGACGGGGAATTTTGCTAGGCACAGACAATGCAATACCATCGACTATATCACTGCAATTTAGCTGATTATGAACGACCTTATATAAAAAGAGCAAATCATGTAGTTTCCTGCGATCTGATAGTGAGTTCATTTTAAAAAAACTAAGACGTTGATCATAGCTACAACGGTGACTAATTCCTTGCGAGAAAAAGGCCAGATGCCGTGTAAAAGAACGCTGGATTCCTTCAATGCGCTGAGAGTATACGCTATAGAATGGACTCCAAACAGCACAACCGTACTCCAACGAGCTTCGGACCAATGCATTAAATAGTACAATTTTTGTGCGAGTATGTTTGAATCCTCTAGTGTTCCGCTTCAAAAACCCAAGCATTCGAGCAGACTTTTCAACTATGTGATTGATATGGGCAGAAAAGCGAAGCTCCCTGTCCATTATTACCCCAAGATCTCTCATTTCGTTCACCAACTGTAGTGTAACTCCATCAATTTCATAACTCGAAACCAACGGTGTTTTTTTCCTAGAGAACCTCATATGAAAACACTTTTTGATATTTAGTTCCATATGATTTTCATTACACCATAATTTAATTCTATTCAAGTCTTCTTGAATTTTTTTGATGTCCGATACGGATTCGATTGCTTTGTAAAACTTTAAGTCGTCGGCAAATAAAAGGAATCTGCAATGTCTGATTTCATGCATTATGTCATTGATAAAAATAGAAAAAAGCACGGGGCCCAGATGAGAACCTTGAGGCACACCAGAAACAGCAAAATAGGTTTCCGATTCATACCCACTAAAGGAAACCATCTGGAGTCTTTTTGCAAGGTAGGATTGAAACCAATGCAACAGGGATCCAAACACCCCAAATGCCCTCAACTTGCGTATAAGTAGTGAATGATTTACTTTGTCAAAAGCGCTGGAGAAATCCGTATATATTACATCAATCTCACGACCTCCATCGAGTTCCATAGACAAATATGATGTAAACAAATGCAAATTCGTAACAGTGGAGCGGCCTGACCGAAATCCATGTTGCTTAGTCGACAAAATACTCTCGACGTGTGATGTTAAAATAGGACAGACTAGCGACTCGAAGAGTTTAGAGAAACACGATAATATGGCAATTGGACGATAATTTCTTATGTTATTTCTATCGCCCTTTTTATAAAGAGGAAGTATTCTAGCCTGTTTCCATTCATCCGGAAAACAGCCATCATCCAATGATCGATTGAAGATGATAGACAATGGAAGCGCCAACACTGCAGCACAACGTTTCACGAAAAATGCAGGAATGAGATCAGGACCTGCACCCTTAAAAGTATTCAATTGTTTTATTTTTTTAAGAACCTCGCGTTCGGTAAATTTAATGGTGCCCAAACTTGCGCTATAGGTAACAAAGTTATCAATATTAGATAAAGTTTCATCATTAAGACTGACACTGCTGTGCACAGAAGAAAACTGGCTCGAGAAGAGATTTACAATGTCAGTACCCGTGTCCGCAACCACATCATCTCTATACATAACAGCAGGTATCTCTGACACCCTGTCTCCCTTATTTTTGATGTAACGCCAAAAAGCCTTAGGATGCTGTACAATTTCAGACTCAATGGTGTGTTTATAATGCGAGTAACAGCTTTTATAAAGCCTATGGCAGTGTCCCCGAACAGCCTCGTATGATAACAAATCACGAGGGTTTCTATATTTGCGGTATTTTTGTCTTAACTTTTCCTTTTCAGCAAGTCTTTTTATTAAACAATTGTTAAACCAAGGTGGAAACTTCAACTTGGCAGTTTGATACCTGGGTTCATGACATTCGATTGTGCTGCAGAGAATAGAGTACAGGGCTGAAACCCAATTTGTCAGGACGAGGTGGCGGAGGCAGGTATACTGCACAAATAGCTAACTTCATATTCTGGCCATTAACATTAAATATAAGGCTTATCCACAGATCTTCGCCATCGCCTTCCCAAATATTCATTCTTACAGAAGGTATATCGCGCGACACGGCTATTAGCACCCCGCCCCCGTCCCTCTTACCAGAACTTGTAAATTGTCGGTCTCTTCTATAAACTGTGTACCTAGCGTCTACAACCTCATCATCACAAATATTGAAACTGGTTGTATGACTTCTGATATGACTAGGCACAGAACAGGTAAAAAGGTAGAACGATTAAGTGGGCGGGGTTGGGCGACCATCCATATGCCCAAACGATTATATGAACGTCACGTTATTCAAATACCCACTGTAGTATTTGCATATGGTGCGTCGCGAAATACGAAAACATGCCAAATTGTGCCGTTATTACGTGTCGTTTGCATAGTGAAAATTTAAGTCTGGAAAAAGGAGGAATTTCATTTTATCGGTAAGTAAAAAATATTGGTTATATAACAGTGTATGGAGATATAATCATAGTTTTTTTTTCGGCTGAAAGTGTCAGATATTGACATAGTGCTTGCAGATATCGATAAAATTATACCGATAGTACTTAACCCTAATATTATGACAATCAATTTATACTAGCGATGACTATTATTACTTAAAAAATCGAATTAGTCGATTGTTCAGCTTAGTCGATAAAAGTCGATTACAATAAGAAAGTATTTAAAAAAAACATTAGTTTCCGAAATCAAACTAGATGTCGCTACGGTACGTTCTTGATTTCTCCATGACAACCTCTCCGGTTTTCTTTCAAGTTGTAAGGTTTCAAACTTTTCAAATTTCAATTTCTTAATATGTTAGTTCAAAGGAACAGAAATTGCTGTCTTTGTCCATTCGTTTCCTGGAAAAATCTACTTTGACTAAATTCGCCATCTAGTGGAGGTGCTTTTTAGTGCTTTCGTTTTTTTTTAAACTTCCTCATTGATGTTATTCGATTGTTGTTAACAACTAAACCTTGCGGCGGCAGCGGGCGGCTATGACACGCTGCGGTTACCGTAATTACTTATTCGATTAATTTCTAGCGCAGTGCCATATTAATATACCACCACTTATGATGTGGTGCGGTGCGGCGTGCGCTGCGCTCGACTGCAGTTATTATGTGATTGGCGCTAATTCGTTATTTAGTTGTCTGTTTAGTAGTCAATCCACTGATTTGAGGGCACATCCATTCGATCGTCGCATTGTAATTGTTACTTATCTACACTATCGAGCGACGACTAATGTTGAAATATCATACAAACCAACTTGAAATGTACCATAGCTAACCTACTACATCTTTTTTGGGTTACGTACCGTAAGGGTAAAAACGAGACCTTACATCTTAGACTTCGCTGTCCGTCCATCCATCCATCCGTCCGTCTGTCTGTAACCAGGCTGTATTTCTT